ACTCAGGAAATGTCTTGAATGATGTCTGAGGAAGGAATAAATGCATGGATGGGTGAAGACAGCTGACTATAACCAAGGAAAACCCATAAAATTTTCAGTAGTTACAACCTCCTCCACATTAAAGAGGGCAATTCCACCTGGGGATGCCTTTGCGTTGATGATGTGGTGGGAAATCATTTGGGAGAAGGATCACAAAGTCTCATATTTTAAAAGGAAAAATACAGGGAGGACGGGTGTGGTGGCTCACGCCTGTAATCCCAGCACTTTGGGAGACAGAGGCAGGCAGATAGCTTGAGCTCAGAAGTTTGAGACCAGCCTGGGCAACATGGCAAAATCACGTCTCTATAAAAAATACAAAACATTAGCTGGGCATGGTTGTGCACGCCTGTGGTCCCAGCTACTTTGGAGACTGAGGTGGGAGGATCACTTGAGCCTGGGAGGTGGAGGTTGCAGTGATCCGAGATTGCACCACTGCACTCCAACCTGGGTGGCAGAATGAGACCCTGTCGAGAGAGAAAGAGAGAGAGAGAGAGAGAGAGAGAGAGAGAGAGAGATATCGAGATCCAGTGAGAGAGCTGGAAGTGGGGGCTGGGGGAGGGGAAAAGTTCATGACAGGAGCACAGCATAGTTTACAGAACTGGAGAGATGTAGCACCTGCCAAAGGGAGCAGGTAGGGAGTGTGAAAAGAAAAGGAAATTTCAGGCCGGGCGCGGTGGCTCAAGCCTGTAATCCCAGCACTTTGGGAGGCCGAGGCGGGTGGATCACAAGGTCAAGAGATCGAGACCATCTTGGTCAACATGGTGAAACCCCGTCTCTACTAAAAATACAAAAAAAATAGCTGGGCATGGTGGTGCGTGCCTGTAATCCCAGCTACTCAGGAGGCTGAGGCAGGAGAATTGCCTGAACCAGGAGGCGGAGGTTGCGGTGAGCCGAGATCGCGCCATTGCACTCCAGCCTGGGTAACAAGAGCGAAACTCCGTCTCAAAAAAAAAAAAAAAAAAAAGAAAAGGAAATTTCAGGAAATGCTAAATTTATAATGTGAAGAAAAAAAGTTAAGCCCTGGAAACTGAGCAGGCGTAGCCTTTTCTTTTTTTCTTCTCTGATGCATGACTGTTGCTTCCTGACCTTTGTGTTGAAATGCTATACATTAACCAGACTCCCTATTCTTCATTCAAACTTAGACTAGATGACATGAGAGAGGGAAACCTTTGTGATTGTTATCTCTTTACAATAGAATGTTAAGCAACATCTTTCAAGTATAATCAATAGTAGCCAGTCAAATCTTGTATTAATGTTAGCCTTTTTTTGGAAAATGTTGTAATTTCAGCACCCTTATTTTTGCCTATATAAACAATCTTCAGCTTTTCCCACACTGGGGAGCACTAATTGCCATTGCTGGGTATCTGTGTTTACCTGGATGGCTGCTCTCACATTTTATGCTTGAATAAATTCTTTTAACTGGATCTCGAACCTTTTGATGATTTTTAGGTTGATGTTAGAAATGTGTTTTTGGGCCAAGTGCAGTGGCTCATGCTCTAGCAATCCCAGTACTTTGGGAGGCTGAGGCAGGTGGGATCATTTAAGGTCAGGAGTTTGAGACCAGCCTGACCAACATGGTGAAACCCCGTCTCTACTAAAAATACAAATATTAGCTGGGCATGGGCCAGCCGCAGTGGCTCACCCCTGTAATCCCAACACTTTGGGAAGCTGAGGAAGGTGGATCACCTGAGGTCAGGAGTTTGAGACCAGCCTGGTCAACATGGTGAAACCCTATCTCTACTAAAAATACGAAAATTAGCCAGGCATGGTGGCATGTGCCTGTAATCCCAGCTACTCGGGGGGCCGAGGCAGGAGGATGGCTTGAATCTGGGAGGTGGAGGTTGCAGTGAGCCGAGATTACGCTACTGCACTCTAGCCTGGGCAACAGAGCAAGACTCTGTCTCAAAAACAAACAAACAAAAATTAGTTGGGCATGGTGGCAGGCACTTTTAGTCCCAGCTACTCGGGAGGCTGAGGCATGAGAATCTCTTGAACTTGGGAGGTGGAGGTTGTAGTGAGCTGAGATTGTGCCACTGCACTACAGCCTGGGTGACAGAGCAAGACTCCACCTCAAAAAAAAAAGAAAGAAAGAAAGAAAGAAGTGTGTTTGTTGCCTTTTTTTTTTTTTTTTTTTTTTGAGACAGGGGCCCAGGCTGGAGTGCAGTGGCACAATCAAGTTCACTGTAGCACCTACCTCCCAAGCTCAGGTGATCTTCCTACCTCAGCCTCCCTAGTAGATGGGACTACAGGAGCATGCCACCATGCCCGGCTAATTTTTTTTTCTTTTTGTAGAGATAAGAGTTTCGCCATGTTGCCAGGCTGGTCTCTGACTCCTAGGCTCAAGCGATCCATCCACCTTGGCCTCCCCAAGTGTTGGGATTATAGGCGTGAAACACTGCGCCCTGCCGAAAAACAGATTTTAATAAAATTTTTAGAAAATCAAGTGTGTGATTTGTGACGCAACTCTCCCCTCTATCTCCCTAAGAAAACATCAGTAAAAAACAGTGAACTGGTCTGTGTTTTTGGAGCCTGATCAGGACTCGTCTAATGAATGTGGGAAGGCATCAAGCCAGCTCCAGGTTGGCCCAGGAAGAGAGCAGGAACACCGAGGAAGGACCAGAGTCATTCGCGTTTACATGCAGCTTATGTGCTTGAGGATCACGGAACAGCAACTCTTGCTAAGCCAGAGCTGTATTTGGTGGCCCATGGTGAGAGAGGGAAGAACACTAGTAAGTTGGGGAATTAAAAGCCATGAAGAGAAGCGGGAATGACTTAATTTGGCTCCAGAAGCGGTGAGTTGTGGGGAAGTAGTGACTCTCAGTTCGTTTGCTCAGCCCAGTGCCTGACACCTAATAGGAGCTCAGAGTGCATCTGCTGACTGGTCGTAAAGAATAAAGGAAGGGAGAGGCCGGGCGCGGTGGCTCAAATCTATAATCTCAGCACTTTGGGAGGCTGAGGTGGGGGGATCGCTTGAGGTTTGGCGTTCGGGATCAGCCTGGCCAACAAGGCGAAAGCCCGTCTCTACTAAATTGCACAAAAATTAGCCGGTCGTAGTGGCGCATGCCTGTAATCTGGGAGGCTGAGGCATGAGAATCGCTTGAATCCAGGAGGCTGAGGTTGCAGTAAGCCGAGACCGTGCCACTGCACTCCAGCCTGGGCGACAGTGAGATCCCGTCTAAAAAAAAACCAAACTGCCGGGCGCGGTGGCTCAAGCCTGTAATCCCAGCACTTTGGGAGGCCGAGGCGGGTGGATCACGAGGTCAAGAGATCGAGACCATCCAGGCCAACATGGTGAAAACCCGTCTCTACTAAAAATACAAAAAATTAGCTGGGCATGGTGGCACGTGCCTGTAATCCCAGCTACTCAGGAGGCTGAGGCAGGAGAATTGCCTGAACCCAGAAGGCGGAGGTTGCGGTGAGCCGAGATCGCACCATTGCACTCCAGCCTGGGTAACAAGAGCGAAACTCCGCCTCAAAAAAACAAAAAACTGCAATCGGTGAGGCGGGGATCATTATGCTTAATGGAGAGCTGAAGAAAGTGAGGCCTGAAGGTGACTCCTTCCAGGTCAATTGGTGGCCAGCGAGGAGCCAACACCCTAAATTCTCCATTCCCAAACACAGGCTTCAGCAAGAGCTTGCACCCGCCAGCCCCACTCCACCCACCCACACTTCCGGTTTCCGCTCCGCGTACCGCGACTACTTCCGGCTTCCGGCTTCCGGGGCCAGGCGCTGCGGCCCGGAGCTGTTGGGTGGTAAGTCTGCGCCGCCAGGGCTCACATGGCCTTCAGAATTAATCCCGGGGCCGGGCGACGACGGCTCCCGGTGGCAGCAGGCCCTTCTTTCTCGCATCACCAGGCATTGCTGGACAGCCATTACCCTCGCGGAAGCCGGACCCAGGGATGACGTCACTTCTGCCCCCCACTGGCTAGGGCAAACCGGAAATGGCGTCAGCCCTCTTTGATGGCAGGGTGGAGTCAAAGCCGGTAGTATTATTTCCTTGTTTTGCTCTGGAGCCTCCTGGAGTTTTGGAGCGACCATGTTTTGGGTAGAATTGGGGGACTTTGCAAATAAAAACGCATAGCAGCTAGTTAAATGTTTTTTAAATTTTGAGACAGAGTTACCCAGGCTGGAGTGCAGTGGCGCGATCTCGGCTCATTGCAACCTCCGCCTCCCCGGTTCAAACAATTCTCGTTTATAGTGCTTCAGCCTCCCGAGTAGTTGGGATTACAGGCTCCCACCACCACACCCGGCTAATTTTTGTGTTTTTAGTACAGACGGGGTTTCACCGTGTTGGTCAGGCTGGTCTCAAACTCTAAATTTGAATTAAGATAAGCGACGAACAATTGTCATTAAGTCCTAAACATTGTGTGCGACATATTTTTTATTTTATTTTTTTTGAGACGGAGTTTCGCTCTTGTTACCCAGGCTGAAGTGCAATGGCGAGATCTCGGCTCACTGCAACCTCCGCCTCCTGGGTTCAGGCAATTCTCCTGCCTCAGCCTCCTGAGTAGCTGGGATTACAGGCACGTGCCACCATGCCCAGCTAATTTTTTGTATTTTTAGTTAAGACGGGGTTTCACCATGTTGATCAGGATGGTCTCGATCTCCTGACCTCGTGATCCACCCGCCTCGGCCTCCCAAAGTGCTGGGATTACAGGCTTGAGCCACCGCGTCCGGCGACATATTTTTTTTAAAAGTTACTTGTTGGCTAGGCACGGTGGCTCACGCCTGTAATCCCAGCACTTTGGGAGGCCGAGGCGTGTGGATCACGAGGTCAGGAGTTCAAGACCAACCTGACCAAGATGGTGAAACCCCATATCTTAAAAAAAAAAAAATTTTTTTTAAGTCTTTAAAACGTTTTTTAAAAAATTGTTTACTGCGAGGCAGAGGTTGCAGTGAGCTGAGATCGCACCACCATGCTCCAGCCTGGTAACAGAGGGAGACTTCGTCTCAAAAAAAAATTACTTGTTTATCTGAAATTCAGATTTAACCGTACATCCTGTATTTTCTCTGGCAGCCTTAGCATTGAGCGTCCCCCTGTCCTGTGCTCATATTCAGTGGCAAGGCTGGGATCTTTCAGGCTCTTGTCCATCTGGGAAATAGATATAAAGCTATAGGGACCATCTGTCTTAGTTGCTAGGATGCTTTTAACCCCAAGCCTAATGGGCAAGCCTCACGGGTCCCCCTGGCAAAAACTGGACCCATTTTCAGAATTCCCATGACCATGCCCTCTGTGTTCCCTTTCACAACAGAAGTCCGGCACAGCTGTCTTCTCCTATGGGAGAGCTGAGAACTAGGCAGGCAGAATGGCCAGAGTCTAGAAGTAACCACCTTCTTTGGGTGTGGGGTAAACTGGTGTTTGAGATCGTCTCTGTTAGAGTGGACAGTATCAGAGAACCTGAGAGTGTCAAGGGGAGAGCTTAGTGTTATCTCACCTCATGTCTCATTTTGCTGATGAGGCCAATGAGAGAAATGGAGGTGTCCCAGGCACTCAGAAAACCGGTAGTAGAGCTGCAACCTCAATTCCCAAGCCTCCTTACCCTGCTCAGTCCTTACTTGCTGATGAAGTCAGCTTGCAGCATTTATGGTAGGCATTTATTAAAGTAGGTACAATAGTACATCTGTGGTACAGATGAGCTCTTTGGGTCTTTGTTGTCCCTACACCTCTCTACAGGTTCCTGACCTTCAGCCCAAGGCTTCTTTAGCTTTTACTCTGCCCAGTGGGGAAAACAGCTTTTTGGGCTCAGCTTTGGGAGCTTGGCCTTTGCCTACTTCAGCCCCTGGGCTCTCACCACTGTGGGTGGTGTGACCTAGGACTTGTTTTTGTTGTCTTGGAACCAGAAGGGGTGTTCTTGGCAGGGTTGGGTCTGGCCAGCTATGTGGGTAGAAGGGCATCCTTTTCTGTCCTGCAATTAGGCTTCATGGCACATGGCCTCACATGGTGCCTGGGGACTTTCCTAAGGTTCCACCATGAGCCAGACTTTGTTCCAAATCCTGATTTAAACCTGAACTTCTTGCTAAACTGGTCCAGAATACTGGGATTCCTCAGATTGTATGCCCTAAGGATGTGCTGTGGGCTTAATCTGATAAACTTTTAGCCTCTTTTAGCCTCCTATAGCCCCTGACTTCCCAGGCTCCTAATCCCAGTCTCATAAGATAATAAAATAGAATAGGCTGGAGGTCAATGGGCTCAGGGTCAGCTGGTGGGACAATCAACAGCCTCCTGGCAGCAGAGGTGGTAAAGAGGCAAGGAAAGAGTGCCAGAAAGGGGCGTTGCCCCTGGGTAAGAGCTCAGAAATGCAGGGGGTGGAAAAGGGGTGGGATGGGATCCCACTGGTAGAAATTACTCCCTCTGTCAATGATTAACTCCCAGCCAAAGGGATGGCCTAGGAGGAGGGCCCAGCTAAGAGGAACTTTGGACTTGAGGCAGGGTATCCAGAGAGCCGGCGTGTGGTCTGCAGAAGAGAAGGACATGGCTGAGTGGCAGGGCTGGTCTCCAAGGACTGGAGTGAGATCCTGCAGCTGTGGGCTTCAAGAAGTCTCCTGGGACTATCAGATGGCTCCTTCTTGTAGCAGCAGCTGTGGAGTCCACTGGCCCTGAGCCCTGAGAGGGGTAGCTGTGGGGGACCTCCTGTCCTTTACCTTGCAAGGGCCTCAGTTGTGCTTTTTCCCACTAGGCAGCCATGGGTGCCAGGCAGTGCTGAGAGCAGTGGGGCATGGCTGCAGCCCTGCAGGTTCTGCCCCGCTTGGCCCGAGCCCCCTTGCATCCATTCCTGTGGGGGGGCCCAGTGGCCCGGCTGGCCAGCAGCATGGCCTTAGCAGAGCAGGCGCGGCAGCTGTTTGAGAGTGCTGTGGGTGCAGTGCTGCCGGGCCCCATGCTGCACCGGACACTGTCCTTGGATCCTGGTGGCAGACAGCTGAAGGTGCGGGACCGGAACTTTCAGCTGAAGCAAAACCTGTACCTGGTGGGCTTTGGCAAGGCTGTGCTGGGCATGGCAGCTGCAGCTGAGGAACTACTGGGCCAGCATCTCGTGCAGGGCGTGATCAGCATTCCCAAGGGGATCCGTGCTGCCATGGAGCGTGCCGGCAAGCAGTAAGGAGCCGTCGGGGGCTGTTTCCCGGTGTCTGTCTGGAGGGAAACCTGGGCCCAGACCCAGGCTGGATCAGGGCCTCCCCTCCCCACCCTCTTCCCTTTTCTCCTGGGTCTGGCCTGGCGCCAGGATGAGCCATGCCCCATGCCACCACCACCCCCACCGCCATTTGTACAATTGAAAGATCAGGTGGGAGGAAAGGAGCCCACCCCGTCTCTTGCGCTCTGACCTCTCCCTCCCCAGGGAGATGCTACTGAAGCCACATAGCCGTGTCCAGGTATTTGAGGGTGCAGAGGACAACCTCCCGGACCGTGATGCACTGAGAGCTGCATTGGCCATCCGGCAGCTGGCCGAGGGACTCACAGCTGATGACCTGCTGCTCGTACTGATCTCAGGTGTGGTACCCAAGACAGTTGGTGGGGAGTGCACCAAATATCAGGTCTTTGAGAGATCAGGTCTGAGCCCCCAGGGTCCCAGGGTGAAGTTAGGAGCAAGGGAGGCGGTGAGGAGCCTGGATAGTGACTCGTGGGTTGCCTTGGGCCAGTCATCTGGCCTCCCCTGAGCTGTGGAGTCCTCCCCCTGAGCTGACTTTTCAGGTGACGGTGAGAGGGTGCATGGGGAGCACCTAATCCAGGACCTGATACATCCATAGAGTCCTTGGAAAATGTCACTGCTGTTGCTGCTGTCTGTACTAATGTCACCTGGGGCTAGGCCCTCAGACCTCATGGAGTCCTCTCCTTGATCTTCCATTGTGTCCCCCCTGCCTTGCTTCCTGTTCCAGTCTCTTCAGGAATAGTTCTTCCAGTGTCTACTGAGACCTGGGGTACCCCAAGGCAGCGGACAACCTCAGGTGGCCAGGATGTAGTGACTGTGCACATATTGCATGTCCACACGGGGGCACCCTAACCCCACCTTTCCAGCCCCCCCTTCCCTAATGTGGGCTTGTCACCACAGCTTGCTTGGTTCCTTGGGTTGGGATAGCCCCTCTGCCTCATCCCTCATTATCTCTGCAGGTGGGGGATCAGCCCTGCTGCCTGCCCCCATCCCACCTGTCACACTGGAAGAGAAACAGACACTCACCAAACTGCTGGCGGCCCGTGGAGCCACCATCCAGGAGTTGAATACCATTCGGAAGACCCTGTCCCAGCTCAAGGGTGGGGGGCTGGCTCAAGCCGCCTACCCTGCCCAGGTTTGAGTCACTTCTTCCCCGGGCAGCCCTGGGTTGGTAGAGCTAGGTCCACATGTGACAGGGACGTGGAAGCCTAGAACATCATACAAATTGGCAGGGCCATGGTGTGAAAGACCATGGGGCTGGCTGGGTGACATCATGGGAGGGGTGCCAGAGATGGGGAGGAGGTGCCTGAATAACCAGGTGTTCTGCAAGCTCACGTGAGAGGGGATAACCATGGATAAGGAAATGCACTGAGTTGGGGGAGGTTGTGTGGATACCCAAGGAGCAATTTATCCTTATGGGCTCTAGGGATAGGAGGAAATAGGCCTGATCCTTGCCTGGTGGCCCTTCCCCAGGTGGTGAGCCTCATCCTGTCCGACGTGGTGGGGGACCCTGTGGAGGTGATCGCCAGTGGCCCCACTGTGGCCAGTTCCCACAGTGTGCAAGATTGCCTGCATATCCTCAACCGCTATGGCCTCCGTGCAGCCCTGCCACGTTCCGTGAAGACTGTGCTATCTCGGGCCGACTCTGACCCCCATGGGCCACACACCTGTGGCCATGTCCTGAATGTGATCATTGGCTCTAATGTGCTGGCACTGGCTGAGGCCCAGCGGCAGGCCGAGGCACTGGGCTACCAGGCTGTGGTGCTTAGTGCAGCCATGCAGGGTGATGTGAAAAGTGTGGCCCAGTTCTACGGGCTGCTGGCCCATGTGGCTAGAAGCCGCTTCACCCCATCCATGGCTGGGGCTTCTGTAGAGGAAGATGCACAGCTCCGTGAGCTGGCAGCTGAGCTTCAGATCCCAGACCTGCAGCTGGAGGAGGCTCTGGAGACCATGGCTCAGGGAAGGGGCCCAGTCTGCCTGCTGGCGGGTGGCGAGCCCACAGTGCAGCTGCAGGGCTCAGGCAAGGGTGGCCGGAACCAGGAACTGGCCCTGCGTGTTGCAGCAGAGTTCAGAAGGTGGCCACTGGGACCTATAGATGTGCTGTTTCTAAGTGGTGGCACTGATGGGCAGGATGGACCCACAGAGGCTGCTGGGGCCTGGGTCACACCTGAGCTTGCCAGCCAGGCTGCAGCTGAGGGCCTGGACATGGCCACCTTCCTAGCCCACAATGACTCACATACCTTCTTCTGCCGTCTCCAGGGCGGGGTGCACCTGCTGCACACAGGGATGACAGGTACCAATGTCATGGACACCCACCTCTTGTTCCTGAGGCCTCGGTGATGGCATAGGTTACATTCTGGGAGTTCAGAGGAGGCCTCCAAGGGCAAGGTCAGATGGCAGACCAAGGTTGCTCCTCAGGGCCTCACTAGGCTTTAGGGCCCCTCCTTGGCCTTGGCTGCTTGGTTGGCTGTCACCTCTCACTCAGGGCCTCTGCTCTATGTCCATTCCCCTCCAGCCAGACTGGCAGATGGGGGCTCCCCTCTATCCCTACTCTCTGGATGGCAGCAGGTACCCCTGAGGATGAGGACAAGCACCTCATCTAGTTCACTGTTCCCATGCTTCTCCCTAGACAGCCTTTCTGTTGAACCCCTCACCCTGTTTTTTTCTGTGAAGCGAAAATTTCTGAAATAAATAGGACTATGCCATGGGTTCTCAGTGTGCCTTCCTCAGAGTGAGGCCTCACAGAGGAGCTGCTGGAAGGGGAGCCTAGTATGGCTGCAGCCACAGTGCCAGAGCCTGGCAGAACTCTTAACACCCCTCTGCTGGGCTGAGTTATACAGGACTTGCCTCACATCACGGGAGCCTGTGCCTGTCTCTCTGGAGCATGTGAGGGTTGAGCCTGGCTCCTGACAGCTTTGGTGTGTGTGAGCAGAGACCCTGGGGAGGACAGGCCTAAGGACTGCAGTCTGGGTGACTGGCCACCCACCCAACCATGACTCCGCAGTGGCACCATTACTATGGCCTCTCCGGCCTCAGTCTGGCCTCGTTGGATGGACGTCCCTTCTGCCTTTGGACAGCCCTTAGCTACAGACTGCACTTCTGGTTGAGTTGAAGTTTGTTCCGCTGCCCAGTGCTCATTCCTTGTGACAGCCCTTGTCCTAGGCCGAACATCCCCAGTTCCTTCAGCCACTCCTCTGGGGACCAATCCAGACTCTGATGTCAGTCAACCCTTTAGTGGGGGGTCTCAGCGCTGGGATGGGGTCCAGGTAGTGACAAGGTCCAGTGGCCCGCACCCTTTCCCGTGACCACTGGCGTGCGAAGAGGCAAGTGGGAGTAGAGGAATGGCTGCCTTGGCCTGGCCAGCAGCCTGGGTTGAGAGAGGGAGGTGCCACTGTCCTGCCTCCCTTCGGGCTCCCTTGCTCAGTGTCAGAGCCCTCCGCTGGCTGTCCCCGCCGTGCGCCACGGCTCCAATCCCTATATGAATGAGCAGTAGAATCACATAGGAATAAAAAGCCATAGAGAACAACGGGGCCTGGGGCTGCTCTTGCAGGCCCTTCTTCCACCCTAGCCCTCCCCTCGTCCCTCAACTCTTTCCCCTGGGAAGAGTTTCCCTTCCCCACCTGGGCTCTGGACAGCCTAGCTTGCAGATGGTTCATGACCTGGGGACCTGGCTCACACGGGGCAGGCTGGGGATTTGGGAGGGAGGTGAACATGGTAAGCGGGCTCTGGGGAGCAGGGAGGTTTAGGGAAAAGGGGAGTTTGCACCCTACTGGGATGCTGCTTCCTTTCCTTCTGTGCTGGCGTGGAGTTCCTGCTGACCAGGGTCACAATCTCGGGTTACAGTGATCCTCGCATGATCCTGTGACCTGGTGCTCCTCTGGCAGCCTCTGCACGTAGCCTGTTCCTGCCTCGGTCCTTGCTTTTGGGAGCATGAGTATTGGCATGCTCCAAAAGCATGGTACAAAGTTCCAGGCAAAAGCAGGATAGGAGAGCTGGGGGCAGGGGCTGAGGGCCTGGTGGCTATGTCCCCTGTGTGTGTGTGTGTGTGTGTGTGTGTGTGTGTGTGTGGTGTGTGTGTGGTGTGTGATGGTATGTGTGTGGTGTGGCGTGTGTGTGTGGTGTGTGTGGTATGTGTGTGGTGTGTGTATGTGATGTGTGTGTGTGGCATGTGTGTGTGTGGCGTGTGTGTGTGTGTGTGGTGTGTATGGGGTGTGTGGTGTGTGTGTGGTGTGTGTGGTGTGTATGGGGTGTGTGTGGTGTGTGTGTGGTGTGTATGTGGTATGTGTGTGGTGTGTATGTGGTATGTGTGTGATGTGGGGGTGTGGTGTGTATGTGTGCGGTGTGTGTGGTGTGTATGGGGTGTGTGTGGTGTGTATGTGGTATGTGTGTGATGTTTGTGTGTGTGGTGTGTGTGTATGTGTGTGGTGTGGCGTGTGTGTGGCGTGTGTATGTGGTGTGTGTGGTATGTGTGTGTGGTGTGTGTGTGGTGTGTGTGTGGTGTTTGGTGTGTGTGTGTGGTGTGTGTGTGGTGTGTGTGTGTGGCGTGTGTGTATGTGGTGTGTGGTGTGTGTATGTGTGTGGTGTGTGGTGTGTGTGTGTGGTGTGTGTGTATGTGTGTGGTATGTGTGTATGTGGTGTGTGTGTGGTGTGTATGTGGGGTGTGTGTGTGGTGTGTGTGTGTGGTGTGTGTGTATGTGTGTGGTGTGTGGCGTGTGTGTGGCGTGTGTGTATGTGGTGTGTGTGTGTGGTGTGTGAGTGTGGGTGGGTGGTGGGTGTGTGAGCACACAGATGTTGGTGCTGGTGTACCGAGAGTGGGAATGCATCTGTGAGTGTACATATAGATACTTAGTACAGGGCACATGGCTCTCCACACGCCTGCTGAGGGCTTTGGGTATGGATGGGATTTTGCAGGAGTTTCACCCTGCTCCACAGTGACCCCTTCCGTATACTTCTGTTTATAGGTGTGGGAGGCCAGGGCCTTGATTGGACCCAATAGGGCCAAATAGTTTGTGAGCCTAACCGGTTAGATTTGTTCACTGGCTACCCCAGAGATGATAAAGGATGTGTTTGGCCACAGTCTAGATGATGAAATGAGATAAACCCTGCACAGTGAGTATTTCGATAGGATCATTATTTGCTCCATAAATGTCAATTTTGGATCATTAAAGTACCCCTTCCTTGCTCTTGGCTTCTGTCTCTTCCGGCTGCCGCCGCCCTTAAGCTTACCTCATCTTCATTCTCTAAAGCAGGTGTCCCCAAACTTTTTACACAGGGGGCCAGTTCACTGCCCCTCAGACCGTTGGAGGGCCGCCACATACTGTGCTCCTCTCACTGACCACCAGTGAAAGAGGTGCCCCTTCCTGAAGTGTGGTGGGGGGCCAGATAAATGGCCTCAGGGGGCCGCATGCGGCCCGAGGGCTGTAGTTTGGGGATGCCTGCTCTAAAGCTTCCCCTGGCCCAGCTGGAGGATTTACCATGGAGGGTGTCTGGCCCTGCTGGCTGCAGCAGCCCTCACAGACCCGTCCGTTCTCTCCAGTTGGCATGAGCCGAGAGCACTGGGGCAGTGGGCCTGGGCAGCCCTTTAAGTGTCAGCTAATCCCAACCATTTTGACTATAATAATTGGAGATATAGAGAGCGAAGGTGGCTTATTTGGGACTACACAGCAAGTTAGCCACCGAACCAGGATAAGAATCTAATTGGAAATTGCTTGACTATCCTCTGCCGCTCTCTGGGGCTCAGGGACCCTGGGGCCAAGCAACGGCTCAGTCAGAGCCAGGGAATCTACTTCTGCCTCCCCGCTGGACCTCAATGGCTTGGGATGGCAACACACCATGCTTGGCCTCTCTAGGGATCCACACAGCAGATTTGTTAGATTCTTCTTGGCTCAGAGGGACAGCTCCATTGTGTGTGTGATTTGGCAGAAAACCATGCGCAGTTGAGTGGTGGGCTTCTACATAAAGGTGTGTCTGCATCTGTTGCACATTGTGTGTGTGTGTGTGCACATGCATACACACATGGATACATGTACAGGCATGTGTATGTGTAGTGCAGCCCACAGCCAGTCTGTGAGCTGTGCTCTGCCCCATCCCAGGGTGGAGACACACAGGTGTAGTTAGAGTGTAGGGGATACAGGGAGCAAGGTGGGCAAGGAAGCCCAAGAGACTGACAGGCTAGTGTGCCTGGCCAAGAGAGTTGACTTCACGTTGACAGCAATGGCAAACCTCATAAAGATTTTGGCAGGGAGTAATGTCATGAAGCTGTTTTGGGACTTTGATGCTGAGCGCCTCCTTACTACAGAGGGTGAGAGGTGAGGGCATGCAAGGAGATGGAAGGGATTGCAGATAGGAGAGGTGTATTACCAAGCTCTGAGAACACTCTCCCACCTCTGCTGCGCAGCCTCAGCTCCAAAGCCTTTAGCCAGCCCAGGGAACCCTTTAGATGCCTGCCTTGGAACCAAGGCTGAAAGCCCTGGCTCAAATACTCCTGGGAGTCACTGAGCCCCTCTGTCTCTGGGAATGCCATCAGGGCCTTGAGGATTTGGGGGCAGAGGCTGGGCAGCTAGTGGACACTTTGGTGGGCATGGGGACCCCACTCATGTAGGATCTCATGAGGGTGGCAGTTAAGTGGCTTGAAAGGAGCACTGGAGTAGGAGTCAGGTGGTAAGTCCTTGTCCTGGCCTTCCCACCTTCCTTTCTCCAGGGCTGTTTTCTCATTTGTTTAATTGGGGCAGTATCATTGCCCTAGTGCCTCTTTAGGGAGGTATCAGCGGCAGGTGGATCTGTGTGGAAAAGCTCTGTGCAAGTGGGGACCTCAGGGAGGGAGAGAAAGAAGGGAGAGGTATTGGCCTCTTCCAAGGAGAATCTCAGGAAGCTCTTGGCTCAGGGAGGCCCTCTTCTTTCATGGCAGGACCAGAGTTAGAGCCAGTAGGACCTTGGTGCTCACTGACTGAGGCTGTGAGTGACCTGCTGTCCTCTGGCACTAGATAGGCACCAGCAGGGAATGGTATTTCAGTCTTTAACGGCTGGTAGGGTGTACAGTGCCCTGGGAGGTCACAGAGCTGATGGATGATCAGCTGGAGTCAGAGTGAGCTGAGCTGCCTGGAAGAGAGTCCCCTAATGTCTCTCGAAAATGGGGAGGGCAACCTGCCTCCCTCTGGGTCTTGGTCATGTACGAGGGACATGATGAGGCCCAGGCTGTGGTGAGGGAGGACTGGTTTGACCCCAGGCCAGAATCCCTAGCTAGGTGGGAGGATTGGGATATGCTGGGTAGAGGGGGGAAGGGGGCGTGCAAGGGTCGGGGTCACACATACTCTGGGTGATGGGAAAGCCAAAGACCTAGGCAGGCTGCTTTGTGAGCGATAGAAGCATGGGGCTGTCATGAGCTGTGCCCAGGCCGGGAGGGCTTTCTCCCCAGGGCTGTGGGCCAGACCTCTCCCCAGTACCCACTAGGGCCAGTTCTGAGGCTTTGCTCTCCACTTCCCCTGACTCAGGCTGGTTTGTAGTGGCTGGAGGAGGGTGGGCTGGGAGTTGACACTTAACTTGCCACCAGCTCATGTCCATGGCTCTGATTCCACCTCTCTAGACATGTTGCTCCCACCCCGGGGGTTGAGGGGAGCAGGGGTTGCAGCAGGTGTGGCTGCTGCCTTGCTCAGATGAGGAGGTTCTGGCCAAGGGAAGAGGGCAAGACAGTTGGGTCCTGGAAACAAGTGCCCCATCTGCCCAGTCCTACGGGGCCACTGCCCTTAGCAGCTCTGCCTCATGGGACAACTACTCACTACGCTGTGGTCCACCACTGCCTCCTTGGGGAGCCAGGGAGCGATAGGACCTGGCTCTGCCCCATCCAGACAGCCAGAGGCTGGACCCCAAAAATGCATCCCATTGAGAAGGTCTTCCCTGGTCCCCCACACGTCTGGCCTGGCCTTTCCTTTCCTTTTCCTCCACTAGCAGCCAGCCCAGCCGCTGCCTCTCTCCCTGGGAAGGTGTGAGCTATATACCTCTCCTCATCTCCAGCCCTGCCCCTCCATCCCCAGCACCAGCTGAGAAGGGGGCGGGGCCCCTGGCTCTTGGCTTCTGCCCCTTCAGTTCATTCCCACCCACCTGCACAGCTTTAGAATCTCAAGATCTCCTTGTGGCCTTCACTTGTCTCCAAAAATCACACTTGGAGCCAGGCCTGTCTCCACCTGCTCTCCCCGCCCCATCTACAGAGCCCCCATTCCTCCCTGTCCAGCCCAGTCCTAGGAAGCTGACTGCAGGAATATCTAGGCTCTGGCTTGAAACCCTGCTGTTTGCAACTCCGGGCAAAGCTCTTCTGGGGATGCTGTCTGGAGGGAGCTGGTCAAAGACCCCTAGGGGAGGGAGAAGTGCCTGTCCTTGCCATGTGGCTCTATGGGTCTGGGCATCAGTAGCTTGGAGTAAAAGCTGTGAGCCTGTGGCAGTGGGAAGGTCTCTCCTGCTCAGACTCTCCACCTGGGCAGTGGGAGCAGCCCCAGCACATTCCAGCCAGCTGCCAACACCCCCACTAACACAGG